CGGCGGGGAGGGGAAGGGGCGGCCGGGCCGAGCGGGGTGAGGCTGCGGGCAGGACTAGGCCGCTTCGCTCTGTGTCACCGCCGCCCCCCACTGCTCCTCTGCACTGCACAGTCGGCAACGCCACCAGCAAACACCCGGCCACAGGCGATATTTTTATATATGTGTTTCTATATCTCCCCCTTACGAGCTGTTGCAGTTGCACGTAGGGTGTGTATGTGTATATTGTACCGTATATGTGGCCGATGTGCAGCGTTATCTCTACTTTTAATTGTTACGTTGACCTGTGCTGTCATGAACTTTGACAGAAAAATGGCTTTGAGGGTTGAGGGAAAAGCCACTTCCTATTTGAGAAAGCAGCGAAAGTATTCTGTACTGATTTTTTCTGTCGAAGCTTATTTACGCTAAACAGAGTAGAATTCCTTTCTTTCTCTTAATTGTTTTTTGCCAGTTTGCAGCACGCTAAGTATCTACAACATCTACTGGTAGCTCTGTCTTGAATTGGAGTTGTGCTCGATTATCCTTGCACTAAAGCCAGGCAAAGGGTGGGTGTCTGTGCTGGAGTGGCCCTGGCGGTGGCTCTGGAGGTTACTCGGTGTGGCTTTTGCTTTGAAGAAGGGTAGATCTACGTTGGGATGTTTTTCAGAGGTAACAGAGCCCCTTAGTGAATAGGATTCACCCAGGTTGGCTGTATCCTAAACCACATCAAACCCTAAACCACCACATCTTTTACAGGAGCCAGATGTTATCCTGTGGAATAGGAATGTATTAGCTGGGATTGATTCCTGTCATGGTTTGGACTGAGGGGCCCTTGTGCTTGGGCATTACTCGGGAATGGGAAGAAAATATGAACCTTGGGGAATTTAATTACTAAATGTCACAATTTAATATGGTTTAGAAAGGAATTTGCTAGCTTCCTGCAGGGAATTGAAAATGTCATAAATCTGAGTGGAAGAAAGAAGTTCCTCTTTTTCATTTTATGAAGAACCAAAAAAAAAAAAAAAAAAGGAATTCTTATGAAGGACAGCAGTTTGGAAACAAACCTGTTCTACTGGAGGTACTGGGATGTAAAATGTAAATAACAGTTTAAAATTATCTGCACACTCCTGGGCATCTAATGAAACCTGCTTAAGATTAGTTCTCATTTTGTTGTCTCTTCCTGAAACAGGAGGTAGATCTTAGTTAATATTTACCTAAAGTGTCTGTAACTTTTGTTTTACAAGGTGATGACTCCAGAGTGTTCTGATTTGTTGGAATGACAGAAAACTTTTTTTTTTTGTTTTTGTGTGTACTGTCCCAAACTATGAGCAGACAAGTGCTACAGGTTGGAGTGCTCTGTAGGAAGAGGAGAGTAGGATAAGTGAGGAAATAGAGGTGGATAAAGGATGGCTGAGAGGAGGGACATGGCAGAAGGTGCTCGAGCTGGTGAGGACAGGTAGGCAGTGATTAGTTCAGCTCTGCTGCTGGGGTGTGGTCAGGGAGAATTGAGGTGTGCACATATAAATGCAGGAAGTTCAGGAAGCAAATTGGAGTAAGTTAATGAAGCAGGATGTGAAACCAGTAGAAGGATAACCAGGACAACGTACGTGGGTGTGACTGGAGAGCGTGAGGAGAGTCAGAAAGTGAAGGCAGTGTGATACATAGGTTTGATTTAAAAAGAAAAACTAAGTTCTCCTGGAGGAAGGAGAAATGAAGGCCTGTGAAGCCTTTAGAAAAACCCCCTAGGCCTCAGCTGGGTTAAGGGGTTTTACATAATCAGGGAATATATCCAATGCATTTCTGCAGTCTGAGCCTCAGAGCATGCAAGGCCTCGTGTGCTGTCAGGGAAAGAGTAATGAGGTGGGAACAGCGAGGAAATGCACAGTGATCCTGGACAACAGCTCACAGAGGCTTCTGGGTGATCAGTGATCAGTTCAGCCAAATTTCCTGTCTTGTGCTGATTGGATGCTTTGGTGAAATCCAAGTGGGGGAAGCCAGGCAGGATGACTCTGGAAGAGCTGAGGGATGAGTAAGGAACTGGCCAGCAACAAGTGATGTTGTCAGACAGGTGTGAAGGCTCTGAGACTCCTCAGGGATCAGGCTCAGCAGGGCTCTGTAAAGCCAAGCCTGCAAAAATGAATAAATAAGCAGAGCAGGGTGGCTGCAGAGCATCATCTTAAAAAGAGCCGAGATGTTGATGTGGCTTAGGAAGACCTGAATGTCCTTGGTGTGTGAAAGCCAGAGAAGCACAGTGGAATTTAATTGTAGCAGACCTCATAGCTTGCTGTGGACATGACACCTATGGGAATTCAATGCTTGGGTGAATGAATTGATAACAGAGCTGTTATTACCTTCAGTGTGCTGTGATCTTACAGGTGACCATAATTGAAGCACTCACACAATGCTTCTAGTAGCCTGCTGAAGTAAGGTACCAGTTGAACCACATTGTTCTATGTGCTTGACAAAAGTCTTCATAAGGGGAAAAGTGCAATTATGAAATGAAACAACTCTGTCTCTCTCCAGCTCCTCCCCCTTATTAATCTTAATGTTGTCTGATAATTAACATCCAAGTAAATCTACAGCTTCTACTGTGAAAGCTTTTCCTGCTGCATATCCTTGGAGAATGATGCACAGAACACCTGGCTGCCCAGAGGGACTACAAAATACCTTTTACTGCAGAGTAACTAACCAGTGTTTCCCTAGCTGCAGAGTGCTGTGGTCTGCAGGGAACCAGTAACGACTGGGAAGGGCTGAGTTTGAAGGTGGTAGTTTTTTTTCCCAGGTCTCATCCCTGTGCATGGAGCATCCATCAGCTGCAGGTATGAACCACAGCAGTGTCTAATAAACCCTCTGCATGCAGGTTCTGGTCTCCTTTCACAACACACCTGCTTCTTGTTGAGCATAAAGATATTAAATTTCTTAATGCAAATGATATCCAGTGAAGAGTTAAAACTATGTCCTTGAGCTGGAAGGAGCTGCACAGGTCTTGCAAAGGCTGGTATGAATCTGATATTTACAGTTATGTTATTGTGATAAAGAATGTTACAGCAGTGTGCCCAGAACAGTCTTATCTCAGGGAGTACAGATGTAGCTGATAGTTGAAATACACCTTCAGTGAGATTTCTAAATATCTGTGTAGTGCTTGTTTACTAGAGGAGGAGATGCAGATGTACTGGTGTCTCATTAAGGTGATCTTTAACTATATATATATATATATAAAAAAAGCCTCTAATGAAGAAGTTGATATATGGGAAATGGATTTGGCAACACTGCTATAAAATTTCCAGTCCTAAGGTAATACAGAAATGAATTGTATAGGCTTTGAAATGAGCATAAATCTGTGCTTAGTGAGATCTTCTGGCCAGTGGCCATCCTGCAATAATGCTCTGCGCTCCAGGGCACCCTTACCTGGGAGAACGGAGCCAAAACTGAGCTGGCAGACTTTTCCTGGAAGAAGGATGGCAGGTAGGCCAAGCTCCCAGACTAAACTTCTGCTTTCTGTTAACCATAAACTCATGGCTGATTAACTTTGATGTGCACAATGCCAGCAGTGGCTGAGGCTGAGCTGTGGATATTTATGTGCAACTTTCTCAGCCCTGCAGCTCTTGCTCTCCCAAGAGGAAAGCCCCATCCCCCATTTTGGAATTATTGAGATTCACGTGTCTGGAACAGAGAGGGTGGAGGCAGAACTTGAGTTCCTACAGATGGGTAATGGCTATCAATGCATCAACCCCTTACATTGACATGTAGCTGATAGTTTAGAATTTACTGACCCCTGTTGTGCCCTGTTCTTGTCTGGACTTCCTTCTTTCGTCTGCAGTAAATGCTGAGGTGGTCAGTTTTCCAAGGCTGAATTCTCAGCAGGGTTTCTGTTTTTAGTTGGTTGCATTTTTTTTTTTTCTCCTTCAGCACAGAGTCCTTGTGGAATATCACTTGTATTCCAAGATCTGAGTACAGTTTGAATTCCTGCTAATCCTTATTGGAATTTGAGTGTTCAAAAGTTTGTTATTTGGTTGTTTTAGTTTTGCTTGGGTTTTATTTGATTTTTTTATTTAAAGGAGTCATCTGTTCTCTAGAAAAGATTCCTGACCTTTACTAATGGTTTGGAGTATTTCAGAATCTTTTCTGTAATGTGACCCTTGGAATAAATGTAATACCAGTATTTTTTTGTATCGAAATAGCATAGTTAAGACTCTTTTACTTAGAAGGCATAATGAAAATGGACATATCTCAACAGGCAGAAACAGTCTGACAAATAAACAGAGCTGTATATTCAGCAATGGAGATCTAGTCGAGATTCACTTCAAATTCAGTTTGTGACAGAGACTGCACCGAGTTCCCAGTTTGTCCATACTTCTAAAAAAAAAAGTCTTCCTCACTTTCCAGACTTGGATAGCAGGATGCATTTCCCTCCTGGTTGGAACAGTGGAGCAGTACAACATTGTTTACCACACAATGGTATCCTAAAGTCATGTGCTCAGGAACATAAAACTTCCCTGTGTTGGGGAGGAGTTGGCATTCCTTGGCCTCCTGGTCTTGGGACGAAGAGAGGGCACGCAGGCTTCTGCAGATTTCATAGCCACAGAAGTGGTTGGTTCCCTGTATTGGAGTTCATGGTGCTGGTTGGTTTGGTTGGGGTTTTTAACAGCAGAAGTTACTGGATATTTTCATCCTCAGAATGCACAGGAGATCTTTGGTGCATATTTGTGCTCTTGGTATCTTGTAGCTGTAACACCCAGCTGTTACTCTGTTGAAAACAGGGCAGCTCCCGCTTTCTTCCTGAAGTACTTGCATGTACAAATCAGTTTTTTCAAGCTTTCTCTTTATTCTTCCAGTTACCTGATAGACCCCCAGTTTAGCCCTGTGTGCCATCCAGTGGAGCTGAGCTGTGAGCCTGTGTCCCTCTGCCCACAAAGGAGGTGGCAGGTGAAGTGTCCTGCAGGAACACGTGTTTTGTGTGCCCATTTTACTGTGCTGGGACATGCTGGGGAAGAAAAAGAACATAATGTGTGAAGATGTTCAGGAAACTTGAAGGACTGGATGTTTCCACAGTGACACATTCATTTGGAACTCAATATGGAGCAGTGACTTGTCGTTATTTACTGCTGTTGAAAATAACCCATGCACGTGTTGAAGCTGATACTGTAACTCTGGAATCTTCCAGGAAATAAGGCAATAAATCTGCTGGCTTGCTTGGTGAATTACTGTCCAAAATTGTCACTTTATTTCCTATCTTGGAATAAAGCTGGCTTAGTAAAACCGTGTGTGTCTCTGTAGGAGTTAGCAGAGGTGCTTTGTGTACTGCTTGGGATAGAAGGACTGAGTGTTTCCATCTCCCGAGCCGGGCGTGGAGGGAAGATGAGGTGCAGAGCAGTGCCTGGCACTCAGTAAACCCTTCTTAACTGCTCTGGGAGTTGTTCCCCTCTGAGGTCTAGATAAGCGTGTTTGCCTCCAATCTCAGCGCTGGGAAGTGCAGGCTGCTGGCTCTGTGCTGGGAACGAGATTTGTTCACCTTCCTTATGACTGCAGTTCACTGAGAGGGATTAATTGTGGTTCAAGGAACAGTACTTTGCTTTTGAGAAAGTCCCAGGCCTGTAAGCTTTCCTCTGTTTGTATTTCTTTCTAGTATTGGTTTCATTTGTCATGTGAATGACACATGACCTAATGAAAATCTTTCTAGGCTCCAGCAGTGTTCCCTGTAAGGAGTACCATGTGTTTGTAATGGCTGGCTATCTGCCCTGCAGGAGCAGGAAGGGATGTGCTGAATTCCTGCTAGAAATTTTCCACTTGCTTAACTGATCATTAGATCCAGTTTAACTTAAAGCCTGGGACAAAAGCAGGCATTTCCCATCTTTAATATTACCTGGCAACATGTGGCCCTTACAGATGTGTAATCCTGGCTAACTGACATGTTAGGTAGTAAGTCATCTTTCACTCCTTGCAGATTTAAACAGCAGAAGCCAGTTCTAATTCCCTCCACATTTAGGAAAATTCTGGAATGGTAGAAGTACTTTGACTGCCTTTTAAATAAGAGAAAATACTCAACAGCCTTGCTGTAACGCTGCTGTGCTGACAAAGCCACAAAGATGTTAACCAACTTCCTGAACATCTGATTTGTGGCTTGCACTGCTTTTCCAACATGGACAAGCAGCACCCCAGACCCCAGTTAAAGCTACTACAGCATTCTTTTAAATCTTAGCTGTTTGCTGCAAGCTGCACTGCTTCCTTTGTTGCTGTTGCAAGTCTCAAAAGTGTGAGGTAATAGTTCCAACTTGCTGGTTTTGTTAAATCTCGTCAGATTTTATGCTGGAGTCAGATTTTATTTTCAGTTCATACATTAGCTCTTTGGCGGGTGAGTGCTGGTCTGGCAGTGACTGTGCAGAGCAAGGAAGGACTGAGCTTTTCAACAGCTTTAAGTCTTTCTGGATAAAATTGATTATCAGTGCTATCCTGGAGTGTGTTTCTACTTGGAGGCCTTACTGACAGGGGCTCAGAGCAAACAATGTGGGAACTTCGCTGTCTGGCTGTTCCAAGTAATTCAGTGACTGTGGGGAACTACACAAATTTAAACTGAATGAAAGGGTAGTTAGGAGAGAGAGGAAGAGGAAGGTGTTTTTTGTTTATATGAGCTAAACTGGATAAATTGGGTCGCCTTGAGGGAACAAGTATCAGTTCTGACGTGTTCTGTTTTTTATTTTAGTACCACAATGGCAACTGCACCTTACAACTATTCCTACATCTTTAAGTACATCATTATTGGTAAGTACCAGTGGGCTCGCACCTGTGTATGTTCTGGGTGGATACATGAGAAGCCTGTGGCTGTTTCAGGGTGTGCTTGTCCCAGCTCAGTCACCACAGGTCACCACACTTCTCCACAGCTTTAGCATTTACTGGAGCATTTTGCATCATTAACATCAAAGCTTTTAGAATTTATGTTGAAGGCACAAGTGCTGATTGGAAACCACTGCATAGGCTCATAAACCTCTCCCAGGCTGTATTTTTGTGTTTAAATGTTGCTTTTAGCTGCAGCTTCCTTGGCTGCTTAGTCAGGGGTTACATTTATTGCTGTCCTGGAAGAACTGGTCTTGCTGTTAATTGTTTAATTGTTAATGACCTTGTGTAGGTGTAAATGATCTGCAGTGTTATTGTGCAGGTTTCTAAGTCAGGCTGCTGTGACAGCCTCAGCCTCTGGAAAAGTTGCTTCTTAAAAGATTTTGCTGTGTCTCACCCTTGGTATTGTGCAAGAGGATCAGTGGAAGTGAAGCAATTTCTTTAGATGTTCTGGATGGTTGTCAGTATTTTTGATGTTCTTACACAGTAAGACAGGAGCAAACACCAAGTATATTTTATATTTCAGTTTCTTCAGCTGTACTTTTTATAACCTTGTGAAATGCAATTATAAAATTAGTAATACAAATGAACTTATTTCCTGAGTGTTCTGCTCTTGCTTGCAAGCTGTACCTGTAGCCAAAGCTTCAGTGGCAAAGTTGATAAATTCAAGGATAGAACACTGCCCATCTGACCTGAGAAATTAATGTCTTTGTAGCATTTGTTGTGTGGGAGGAAGAAAATGTGCTTGTTGCAACAATGATTTAACTATTCTCTCTGTAACAGGGGACATGGGTGTAGGAAAGTCCTGTTTGCTTCATCAATTCACAGAAAAGAAGTGTGAGTATTTCAGTTCATGATACTTATTCTAAGTGGCATTTTCATCCTTTTTCCCTGCCTGTTTCCATCATGCATGAGCTCAGTTTGCTGTGTCTTACTCTGTATGAGTTTGGATTGTACTGGGTCACATTTTTGGTTTGACTTCAGCAGATGCAGAAATGAATATTGATGTAGTTATGGCAAAATCTGCTCCAGCCAATCCCACCTGTGAGGAGTGGGAGGACTGGATCTGATTTTATAGCTTTTCTGTGGATTTTGATATGGACAAAGAGAAATTTCTTGTCTGAACTTTCAATATTGGTATAGCTTGATCACAAGCAGTTGGAGATTTTAGGTCTGTTAAGGAGAAAAAGGAAAAAAAAAGGAATATTTTTTCGTTGAATCCTTGTTTGCAGCCTTAAGTGGCCCTTCAAGACACTTGGCCTGCCCTGGGTGATGGTGTTTAGGGCTTGCTGCAGTCTCTCTGAGCTGAAACATTTTCTCATGTATGGAATTAGCTTCAGGTCTTCCTAGTGTGTGTTGCATTGGGGTTTGCAGCAGCTGTTACCTCACTCAGTGAGTAAGTCTGGAGGTATTTCTCAGTACAGGCATCACCATGTGCTGCTTGAGATGTGGTAACAAGTGGGTAGGAGCTGCAGTTAAAATATTTGTTTTCCAGTAGAAATAGGAATTTCTGACTGTTGTTTTTAATGAAAATGCAGTATCAGCTAGTTATTTAAATACCATTTTGCACATGGTCAGATTGTCCATGAGGAGAACATTCTGTCAGCACCAAGCCAAAGCAGTACAACCAAACTAACATGTCAAGCACCTCTGCTGTGAGACTGCCCCTAACTCTAGGTAGCCTGCGTAGGTCCTCATCTTGTCCGTATTTTCTTTCAAAAATGAGCTTATTAACATGAGTTTATCATAACCAGAGAGATGCCTTTTTGGATTTGATTTGGTGTGCTTGTAGCTGCTTATGAAACTGGCATTTTCTTGGACAGTCATGCTATTGCCCTGTCTGAACCAGCCTGTTCTTGAAGATATGACAGACTTTTTAACTGTATCTTTCTTGGTAATTCCCTAAAAATTATCTTTTCCTACTGCATTAAAATAGTTAACCTTCTGCAAGGATAGACTGGAAATCAGCTGACTTGGTACCTACTGCTATGTATGGCCAAAGAGCAGCAGAGAAGGCAAGGAATTTTATAACTGTTCTTAAAACTAACAGCAGATCAGGAAACTCAGCATTTTATTTCTGGTTAAGTGATGCAGTTTGGCAACTGTAGCTGTAAAAATGCTTTGACTGAAAATCTAGTAAAGATAACTGAAAACTTGGGGTAATCATATTTTTGCGGCAAGGAAACCTTGTCCTAGGAAGATCTGATCTTTGCTCTTATTTTTCATGACAGTTATGGCAGACTGTCCCCACACAATTGGTGTTGAATTTGGCACAAGAATAATTGAAGTTAGCGGCCAAAAAATTAAACTACAGATTTGGGATACAGCAGGACAAGAGAGATTCAGGGCTGTCACACGAAGCTACTACAGAGGAGCAGCAGGAGCTCTCATGGTCTACGACATCACCAGGTAAGGGCAGCAGAGCTCTGGGAGTTTGGTGAGCACTGTCTGCTCTGTCCCGTGGCTCAGAGGCTGTGTGCGTGTCTGGATGAGCAGCATCCTTGTGTGATGCACCTTACCCAAATACCCCAGGGTTTAAAGAGCTGCACATGAGACACAGGGAATGATGAGAGCGGCTTTCCTTGGAAAATATCACTGCTGATAAGCCTGAGGAGTTTGCATTTCAGGCTGTGACTGCCTGTGTTGTTTTGAAGAACTGGCTTTGTCCTTAGAATCTGGTCTTCAGCACGTGGATGCTGCTGCTGTGGAGGCAGTGGCAATGCTGCTCACAGGGCAGGGGCTGTGCCGCAGTGAACGTGCGGAACTGCCCGTGGTGTGTGGGGAGAGAGCCTGGCCTCAGCCTGACCCTGGGCCTCTTCCCCAGCAGCCTGGCACTGCACAGGAGCCATCCTGCCTTCCTCTAGGGGCTGACAACGAAAGGTGCTGCTCAAACAATAATGCATCAGATGCAACATGAAATGCTTTTGCTTGCACATGTCTCTCATCTTTCTCTGGGGCTGTTCTTGATATCCTTGAGGCCCCTCTTTGTTTTTTCCCACATACGTAGGTGTATTTTGTTTGTGTAAATCTTGAGTAAAACATGACCTTCTGCAGTTTGCTACTGAAGTGCTGCACTGTGTTCTGGAATAGCATTTGACAGGAAACCCTTTAATGTGTTCTGTACGAAACAGCACCAGCGTTGTGCGTGTGCAG